AAAAAGACCATAAAATAGATGAAACTAATGTAAAAATCATTAGAGTAGTCAATAATTGTAAATTTCTTGACGCTTTCGAGAGTCTTGAAATATTTAAAAATAGAGATAATCTCATGAATTCAGACAACGGCCCCATTCCCTTTTCTCCCCTCTACTCGTTAGTTAAGGGTAGGGAAAGTGAAAGTCGGAAAATTAGTATATAAGGCATTACCATTGTTAAATTAGTTAGTTTTATTCTCACCTGAGGATGAYCACTTTGTGGTCGAAACGCGTTGTGCTATTAAAATAAAAGTTTGGTGTGACGGGCTAATCGTGTTTTTGTTCATTTAAATTTAAATAAATCTGACTACATGATATTCCAACTCAGGTTTCGACCCAATCAATATTGATTATTGATCTACTAGATGGGTCGAAATCTGGATTGGAAGAAACAATTATATCGTGTGTTTGGATTTATTTAAAATTCTCTTGCAACTATAAATCCCACAATGGGTATCCTACATAAAAAGTAACTTTATCCGCAAACGTCACATAAGTGACCATTTTTATGACTAAATAAATTTTACCCTTCAAGCATAGAGTAAAAATTCTGTTTTTCTGCTTAAAGGTTTTTACTTTTACGATTACATTTACCAATGTTGTCTCTTTTGCTGCTTCAGAAATTTCTGAAGAGATACATACATTGTAGATCATCAGGATTCGACATTTTGCACTACTAACTGCACTAGTCATGCACTAGTTAAATTAAATACTTTTAAAATGAAACATGATGTTTGTTTATAAGCGTTGCTATGATTTAATAACAAACCGTCCTGGTTTTTTTTTTTCATTTACTTTCTAGTTTTAGTGTTACTCTTTACTTTCGATGTGAATAGGTTTGCATATATGTTTTTCGGAGCTCAACTGAATTATTTGCCTCCCTACATTCGGCAAAATAGACGTTCATATTCGCCACATAAACCATCACTTTTAATCCTAATAATATAATATACTGAAATTTTTCTTGAAAACTTACAGAAAGTAGAATCTTTAAAATGCCGAATAAAAAAGTCATACTTTTCAACTTTTTACATGCAAGGTAACTTGATTATTACTTTATAATTGCGAATAAATATTTTTTCAATATTCAGCACCCCGAAATCTATAAGAATGCACATCTTCCAACAACAATAGTATATTATTTGACGAGTGAAAAACTTTTCATTTCCACGAAGATGAAATTTACGATAGGAGCTGAAGACGAGGAGAGTAATAAATCTGAGTGGAAATGGCCATTTATAATGAGTTTAATACTATACTTTTTCATAATCAGTAATATTTTTTATTATTTCTATTATTATTACTTATTTTGTTCCACAGTTATGGAGAAAATTAAATACACGCTGAAGATTGGATAACTTTCTCAACTGAAAACGGTTGACAAAAGTACAAATTCTTTAACATGACAAAAAATCTTGTAAACTATAGTGTCATTATTTCAATATTGCCCATAAATTTCTTGTCACAATTATCTCTACGTTATTCAGTTTTACTAACTCAATTTCAAAGTCACAGCCCGGTTTAATTAAAAATTTACTTGACCGGATGAAGGCATATCGATTTTTATATAGATATAAAAAATTCTAATAATGGAGACTTATTTGAAGTAATGACTATATCATCACGATTTATAACGCTTGAGGATCACATTCTCAAATACAAGGTTTTTAGTACATAACCTGTCCTGTAAGCCCGTTTTTATTTGTCATTAGATTTTAGAATACGACAAAATAAACCAATACTGATTTCATACTTTTTCTATACTTTCCTCTATTGTCCTACTTTAACAGGTAAAAATTAATTTTCTAATAATACAAAAAAGAATATAAACTAAAAGGTGTTCTCTAAAGAAGGAAATTTAGTTATCGTCTTCGAGTATAGTATACTACGAATACTTCGAACACTACATATTTGAAATCGAGTTTTTAAAAATTTTTGTGATCACTTATAGTACAATTTTTTATGATAAATATTTGCTTTAGTAGAAATACCATGGAATCGCATTCTCTAAGTTGTTACTGAATTACTGGTAACTGTAATCTAAGCCTTCTGTATTTTTAAAATTGAATTTACTACAGTCATTGAATAAATCTTTTAATGTAATAAATCATGAGTGAAAAATGCAGAATAAATTTCAGAATTGATGTTTTCTATAATTAAGACCATTGATGATCAAAACAAAACTTTTAAAACTGAAGATACTAACTTTGTCATCAATAAAAAAAATGACTGATAATTATCATGATAATTATGATAAGCTTTTGCATCAACCTTTTAAAATAGACTATGTTTACTGGGTAACATTTTTTTAAATATCTTAATTAATTAATTAATTAATTAAAAATTGAACGTTACGAGTAGGTATATCTATATTTAGTACATTAGTAAAGAAAATATTTAATTATAGGATAAGGAAAGAAAATTATTTGGGTAACTTCTTGCTTAAACAATTTTTTTTCAAGTGATTTATTTATAATAGTTACTCTATCAATGCATACCACATTGTGTTCCCTGATTCTCAAAGCTGTTTATATTAATATGCTTGGAAAATTAATAATTTACATCGTTTGAATTGCTAAAAAGCAAAAAGGAAACTCGATAAATGGTACGAGAAAACATACAAATATTAATTGTTTGTAACTAATAAAACACATTAATGAAATTTAAATGTTAACTGATAAATCTTGAATACTGAATGAATAAACAATTTTACAGTTTAAAATAAATTTCTTCATGTGGAATAAGTAAAAGTAAAGGTAGAATAACAAAAAGCAACACTTTGATTTATCAATTATGGTAAAATTCATGTTTGCTGATTAAACGACAACAGTTACGAGCATGGAAATAATCTTTTTTTCATCAACTTCACTCGCCACGCTTCTCAGACAAAGCATCACAATTTTTTCTTAAATAATAGCTATAAAACTGGTCAATAAAGCTAAAAGTTCCATTTTTATTTGCTATCACGTCTTGTAAACGGCTTTGAGTGACCATAGGCAATCGACATTACATCGTCTTTCGTAAAAACATAAAAACAATGTCGAATTTCAAAATTTCTACTTATCAATTTCAGATTCCACCATATTTTTAATTAAATTTAAAAATAATTTTCCAGAAGGAAGCAAATGTCCGACTCCAGGATGCACGGGCCAAGGTCATGTAACAGGACTCTATTCTCATCACCGAAGGTATTTCTTTGTTTATAAATATTTTTAAATCATCTCCACGCTAACAATAAATTTGATATATAGTTTGTCCGGATGTCCACGTAAAGATAAAGTAACACCAGAAAGTAAGTTTCAGTGAATGTAAACATTCACAAAACAATTAGACTGGAATAAAAAATAGGTGTAGATGTTGCAGTCTGATTGTTTTTCTATGCCACCACTGCTTTTTTATTCTGAATCTCGTCCTTTTTTGTTTTACGGGGTAGAGAGCGTCACTTTTTTTATTTATTTTTTGCAATGTGTAGTTGGTAGCATCCCTTGCATTCCCCGCATCCTCATGCATAAGAATCGCTCGGCACATTGAGTATAACGACAAAAATGTGTGTGACTTTTCCCAAAATAACAAACGGTTTTTATTTTTACTCTCTACCCTAAAGTTTGGTTTTGGTTCTGGATGTACACACACATCAATGGTTTGATTATACTCAATGTGATTCTGGTGCAGTCCTCGCCATGCACGAAACCATCCTCAAGTGTCCCACTCCAGGCTGCAATGGGCGAGGTCATGTAAGCTCCAACCGAAATTCCCATCGAAGTCTTTCCGGTTGTCCCATTGCTGCGGCGAACAAACAGGCCGCACGTGAGCAAAAATACCAAAGCAATCTGCATCGTATCAAATCGCCCCATACCTCCGCGTTCGGTAAGTGATGACGGAAAATGAGGCACATCGGGGACTCCCCTAATCCCATTTTGTTTTCAATTTTTCAAATACAATAGAATTGGTTTTTTTTTTCAATAACGTTTCCATTTCTAGCCGTGGCAGGTCAAAGTGAATTTGTCCCACACTCGTCTAGTTCTGAAGACGTAAAACCTAGTTATTTGGTCAGCTACCAACACTCGGACCAAGAAACTAAATCCTCATATGAACATTTCTACAGTAAAGCAAACCCATCTCACAAGTCAGACTTAATGAAAATTCCAAAGACCGAAATAAATCAAAGCAGTTGCTGTAGTGTTTCCGGCCAAACTGAACTTTTAGTACCTAAATCAGAAATCAATGCTAGTACTTGTCGATCATCTCCAAGTATAAGGAGTACTTATGAACCATATATAAATCAAGACTCAAATTCGTCGTCTTTATCGAGTATGGATACTGTCAATTCGCGAGGACCTCCACACCAAATTCATCATTTGAGCCCACATCAAAGTAATTACGGTATAGAGCATCAAATACCTCATCGTTCACCTTACCACCAAATGTCTGATGAAATGTATCATAGATCAGACAGATCATATACAGATATAACAGATTCGATAGGAGGTACTATTCCAAGACCAGTGGTTACGTATTCTAATGAAATTGTAACACGATCTTATGATTCTTCTGTGGTTAATTCAGCAAGTCATAGACCTTATGATCCTGGTACTGCTACAGCATTCGAAAGATACGATTCGGCACAATGTCTAGCAATGCAACAGGGTTTAGTACCACCAAGAGTACCTCCACAAGGAATGTATGGATATGCTGCGATGGAAGAACAACAGGACCAAAGGTACCAACAAGAAGGTGTGAGTGTACACCATCAAATTGCCCCTCAACAAGGGTTATTGAAGACTGAAGCAAGTCAAGAAGCATCTGGACCTCTCTATCCTAGGTTCACTCGCATTAATTGATTATATAGAAAAAATAAAAATCAAATGTTGCAGACCAATGTACCAATATGATTCGTCTGGCGGTCCCCCACTCCCTCTCGGCTTTTCCGCAATCAACTTATCTGTCAAATGTGTAACAACAGCTCAAGCACAAATAAAAATACCAGGTCCTCATACGTCCCCTGGCGGAACAGTTATCGACCTGTCGACATCGAGTGTTACAACAACGAGCCCACAGGTCTCTAATCGTCGTTTCGTGTGAATAAATAATGACTTTGGGCGGTTATAGGTGGCCTACAGTTCACCACATTATGGCGGTCAGCGAGTGAGTGGAAGTCCGCAAGCTGCTGCCAGTCCACATCTTTCAGCTAGTCCTCAAGTTCCTAGTCCGCAAGGTCAAACTTTAGATCTTAGCGTCAGCAGATTGTCCCACAGGTAGGGAAACAGAAAAGGAAGTTTGTAAACTTTCTTCTAAATTGACTTTAAAACTGTACAAAATTATTCGTCAGTTGAATGCTTGTAAAAATTGCTGCAAAAATACAAAAACTGTCTGAATCTGTCCTCAATTCTTTTTTTTTTTAATTTTCTTTTAAAATGCGACAGCAAGTTAAATAGTGAGTTGTATTTTTTCTCGTTACGAAAACGTTAATTAACAAATATTTGTTATGTATTTCTTGTAAAATTTTGCTTTTTATCTTCTGGTTCCTACTACACAGGGTCTCACATAAGACTTTCGGGTCTAATATCTCTGTTATTTGCCAACGGATTTTTCTAAAATTTAACATTTAAATGACTTAGAAGATTTAATTAGTATTAATAACATTATCTCAAGATAAAGAAATAATTTTAACACATACAGGTTGACCCAGGGGTATGTAATCGGTCCACAACTTTTTTATTACTTCATATATAAACATGCTGTTTTCAACATCCGGTAGATCTACTTAAAGTGCATCATTTATGCCCGGTTTCTGAAATGCTTTAGCATTAGATAAATTTTATCGGTTCGATAGTTACTAAGGTAGCGCTGATCTGATTGGTGTTTCTATAGCAATTATCGAATCGATAAAATTTATGTAACGATAAATCGTTTCAGAAACCGGCCTTTACAAATATTTTTATTATATACATACAGGGTGTTGTACAGAGTAGTGAACCAAAGTTATATTTTTTAAATAATATAAATTTTTACATTATTAGTTTCTGCTTAAAAAAATAATATTACTTTGTGTAAACTACTCGTATTATAGGTCCTATCTATTTTGGAATTATTCAATTTTTTGTAATAACAAAGACATTTGACAAATCACTCCGAAGTCGGTTGTAAATATTTTTTGACAAATTTACAATAGCTTGTAATTTTAGCAAATAGTCGACTTTTAACTCAAGCACGCACACTTTACAGACTGTGACAACACACAAAAAGTTAAATAACTCTTTTTTTAAAGAACAGTCTGTATTTGTTTCCACGCATTGATAGCATTTTTGACAAGATTTTCAACGATATTTGGTTTGTATAGTAAATTTGGAATATTTCTCAAGATTTTCAAAAATATGCTACTGTAGTATATTCCTACGACTACTACTCGCAATTAAAACTCGGACACCAAAAGAAAAGATTGTTTTTTATAACAAAATTTTGAATACAAATTAAGGTGACGTATACAATAATTGAAATTTCGTAATAGTCGGACTTTTTTTGGGTAATTTAAAAATTTTTAATAGATATTGACCCTTTTTTGTCAACAGGCACTAACAGACCATAATTATTCTATCTATGTGGAATATTCTAAAAGAATAATTTAAAATGAAATGAATGCATTGCCGTTACTTTGATGTTAACTTAGGGTATGGAGTAAGAAGAAAAGCAAAAGCATCGATTTGAAATTGTTAAAGTTTGCAAATATGTCTTTGCGACGATGTCTCATTAAAAGAATAGATCCAGCAACCCGTATAGAGACAAAATTAGAATATTCTAGTCTTGTAAATCTGAAGTAAAATAAACCTTTGTTTAAAAACAATTAAGCTTTAAGTTATTAATTACGTTCAATCTCAAGGGAGGTACAGGAATTATCGTCTTCTTGCACAAAAGTTAAAACTTATATTGGTTAAAAATGTTGAAACATGTTTCGGGCTCTATCTAGTCCCATCTTCAGTCTGGATTGTTAATAACAAAATATATATTTATAAAGATCACAAAAACATTTAAAAAATGTAAACAAATAAACGGCAATAAAACAAATATTATCAATCTACCATCAAGTCAACCCTGTGGTGTACCAAGCGTCCGAAAATCAACTTAAGATTACACTCTGTTAACCCTCTACCCCTTACGAGCACTGTTGACCACCCTGGGCCCGCGTACAAGACTTTTTTTACTAGAAATATCAATGCAGGGTGCGCCAGAACTCGTGCCCCAGAGAAAAATACTATGTAAATCTTAAGGAAATTCTATAAAAATTTCGATGTTATGAGAGTTTAAATTTTGCACTTTGACTCTATTTATTTCTTTTGGAAAAATAATTTTCGAAGTTTTTTTGCTACAGGCCATTAAAAGAGAAAATAAGGTAGCTGTATCTTGAATTGTACCTCTGTTTAATGTTAAATAATCATAAAAACAAACATACACAGATCATCAGTATCATTAAATAAACATAAAAAAATGTCAAATGTCAAAAATTTTTCACAGTATTTTTTAAACATTTTTTCCATTTTCCTGGTATCTTATCTTGCTTGAATTTTTTCTCTGGGGCGCGTGTTCTGACACACCCTGTATAGTGACATTTGCAGTCACAAACTCAATCGAGTATTCACTGCACCATTTTCTTCTTTCAAGACGGTGATTACTGATTAACTGTGAGCGAGATTAACGAATGGCCAATATTTAATTCCATAAACTGTAATCTTTGACAAACAATTTGTTTCTAACTTGATTTTTCTTCTGCTTCATATTGAGTGGTAATAAGAATTTGGGTAAAATGTTTTTACTCCATTATAGCATTTTCTTTAAGATCTCATTCTTTGCTTTCAATAGCTTTTCTAACACTTTCAAGTAGCATTAATACATTAAAAACAGTAACATTAAAATAGTCTTATTGTCTTCTATGACACCAACAAGTTTTTAACGAAAAAAATGATTTTCCCTCTCCTCCAAAATTTAATTGGTAGAAAATTGTTTCTTCACATTTATTACTTTAGGGAGCATTGCTCGATGAATTAAACTAGTTTCGAAAAGAACTACATACTTTTATTTAAGAAAATTATTAAAAAATTGACAGTTAGCCCTTAAAAAGCGAATATAACGTATTTGGCATTCAAATGCGAGTAGTATATAACGTTTTCTATTTTCAATCTTTGTTAGCAGTAATACAAGTCCTCAGTACCAAAATGGTCATGGCGACAGTGTTCCGGTGCAAGGGTTTGTGGGTCCCCGTGACGAGCAAACCGAACCCGTCGACTTTTCAACTGCAAATGAACCTGTCAATTTTAGTGGAGTTCGACCTGTTGCAACCTTTGCTGGTACTGTACTTACCCCCGGATCGGGTTACAGCCGAGAATCCACCCCTGACAGCGGGGGATCACACTACATGGACGCTTACAGAGATTCCGCAGGTGTGTTATAGCAGATTAACCATTCGCCTACGAATTGTAATTACCCAAATTTTTAATTTTAGGCTACGGCCCTATGAGTCCCCACCCTGGCTATGGTATGACATCAGTCGGCAGCGATTATAGCTCAAATCCATATACGCCTTACCCCACCAGTGGGTATTCCTGTGCGGGGGGATACCCTGGTTCAGTAACTACAGGGTATCCCGCACCTCCAGGAGCTTACTCCCCTGGTCCCTGTTACTCGATGCCTCCGCCTCAGCACACAATTTCTCAACATGACAAACCAACAAATAAAGACAGCAGGTGAGTTGGTTAAAATTAACGCGCAAAAAAGGTGGTTATTCGGAATATAATGACGGCTTTTGATGGCAGTTCGCGTCGACCTATCTACAACGGAGTACGTCCCTGTGCTAAGGGCAGGGACGGTAAGGAGCTGATTCAGTGCCCGACAATTAACTGTGATGGCATGGGACACGTGTCTGGCAACTACGCCACCCACAGAAGGCAAGCATTCACTGTAGAGCTAATTGTCAGTCCCCTAAAAAGAGGCTATGTTCATACCGATTTGAATGTATCGAAAAATGTTAGGACGCGTCTTATGCCATATGTGTTGTTATTTGACATTTTTACACTAAACATAAAAATCTCAAATTGCAAAACACATAAAACAATGTTTTTTTGTTTTTGTTGCAAAAGTTCTAAAAGAACTAACATTAAAGTTATCAAACAAACTTAAATTAGTACTACCAACCAATGTATTCATAATAACTTTAATAAAATGAAAGAAATTTGCAGTTCTAGTTTTTCATTTATTTCAAAAATTTTAATAAATGACAGCAAAAAATGAGACTAAGAAAATTTAGAACCGAAAACACATAAACAACGATAAATTCGTTATTGCTAACAGTTTTTAGAAATTTCTCTGGACAAAAGTCAAATTTGCTAAACATACCAAGAAATTGACAAGAACTGAGAAAGGAAGTAATTAATATTTTACACATAATAACCTGTTTAATACCGTGCGATCAAAAAAAATTTAAATTAGTTAATAACAATTAATACTCTACAGTTGGCAACACGTTGGCTGGGATCTGGGCTGGATATTTTCCACACAAACTGAAAGTGAAAATGACCATTCTCCGTTTTCGTTTTGTACAGCATTTTTGTAATAACTTGCAACAATAAAAATTTTCTGCTCTAAAGTGAACATTATTTCACTCAAAATGAATAAAACTTGTCAAAGTTTCCGCTGACATTTGATGTCAAAAATCAGGATTGCCATCTTTAATCACTGCTTACTCTAATTTTTTTTTTGATCACACGGTATATCTACCTTGAATCAAATTATTTTTATTATGTTTATTTATCTTTTCTTAAGCAAAAAAAAGTGAATTTTTTTTATCACGTGACATTTTTTTGTTACAAACGATAATTTTTAATTTTCTTGTCTCCGCTTTAAAGTTCATTTAAAATTCAAATTGTTTCTGAATTTTTGCAAAATTATCACCAGGGAGGGGGGTGCTAAAGTACATTTCATTGATTCGCATTTGGACTTTTTTCTTAAAAACTTAAGCAGCATGTGTGACGAAAAGAGTGAGCGTTTCCACCAGGATCTGAAGGTTTTCGAAGATCGGAACATAAATTTTTGGAATGAAAATATGTTACGGGATTAGTGTCGGACTGTGTTAAAAGTGTTAAAAAAACAAAGTAAAATAACTAATTTTTCATTTGTTGTAGCGGTGGATATTTTTAAATATTTTTTTTGCACTCAGTGCTTCAAAATCAAAATCTATAATTTTCAGCTAAGGTATATAAATCGTATAAACTAGTGTAATAAGTCTGGTTGCACCGAACTTGAGGAAGTGGTTAAAAAAATAACAATTTTAGAACTAAAGCTGAAAAAAATTTAGAACTTGTAGCTCATTTTACAAAAAATATTGCTTATTTTCTTAGAACCAGTTTGTATCCTTTACACAATTACTTTTTAATGTCTGCCTTCAAATATCCGATAATAAGGTTTTCAAAGAGCAAAAATCAAAAAATTCAAAGGGCAAAGTCAAAATTGTAACATAAAAGCATAACGAAAAATTTGTAACAAAAAACATACAAATTTTTTTCAATATTTTTACTTCATAATTTCCCTTCAGACTCTACAAGTTTTGTTTGGGTATTGTTTTTGTAACAAAAAATTTTAGAAAAACTATAAAAAAGAAAATTTTTGTGTTTTAAGAAAACACCACAATTCTAGATTCTAGATTTTACGCTAAAAAAAAATAAAGAAAAGACACTTTTTGTTATTGTTTCTGATTTCGAAAAACATTATTTTAAGCTTCCAAATTGATAGTCATAAGTCGAATGTGAGAGAAAGCAACTAAATCAAGCTGTATGTTTTTTTCCTTATTGGGAATTCAAACAAAATTTTTCATAAATTTGGACTTCAATATTTTTAGAACTCATTTCAATTAGTAATTTTGCTTTCAAATAGAAAACTGAAGAAAAAATATTTAATTCTCTAATCAATTTAAAAAAAGTAAATATAGGTATTTCTTGCAAAATCGGCGATCCTTTTGTTAAAAAACAAACCGTATAAACCATATTTAGAACGTAATTTTGACATTTGATACATTAACTAAACAAAACTTTTAAGTAAGATTACACTACAGATTTTTTTTCTATTTGTTGTACGTTTTGGACTAAACTCACATAATTATACAAAGTTTCTTTTTCCACAACTAACTTTTATTCAGAAAGTTTGACAACAGAAATCAGGTATAAGCAAAGCCTTTTATTTCCAGTTCCTGCTTTGTAGTTGTTGCTTTCCTTCACATTGTCGTTATAATAATAATATTAATAAAAATAAAAATGCCGTCTGTGACCATGTCTGAACAATTGGCTAAACAAACTGAGTCAGATCCTTGATGTAAAAATACAACTATTTATCAAACACTGACTTTATAAACTTATACTGATAGTTTTTCAAACATTTTCAGTTTGTCTGGTTGTCCGAGGGCCGATAGAAGTCAAATCCAAGCCCATTCTCAGGAATTAAAATGCCCGACTCCAGGATGCGACGGTTCTGGACATGTCACTGGAAACTACTCTTCACATAGGAGTCTTTCAGGATGTCCGAGAGCAAACAAGCCGAAAAGTAAACCGCGTGATGGACAAGACAGTGAACCGCTAAGGTAGGAAGCTAGAGTTGACTTTTTTTTTGCAATTCATCAACAACCTGTCCATAAAAATAGGTGCTCTAGGTAGACAAATCTCAAAATATTGATGAAAAGATGATTATTTTAAAAAATTTGTATATGCAGGTGTCCCAAAACGTCGAACTTAAAAGTGATTAAGTACCAGCTTCAAAAACTTAAAAAAGAAAGAAATAAACTTTAACATTAAAGCATAATAAAATAAACAAACCAAATGAAAAATTTTCTCTAATTTTTAAAAGAGAATATCTAAAATTTTTTTTTTCAAATATTTCCAAATTTATAAATAAAATGATTCGATGTTGATGGAACATCCTGTATGTTAATATAATTTAGTGAAAATGAACTGGTGTAAAATGATCATAGTTTATAATATTTTATATACTTGAAATTGCTATTGACTTATGTGGTATATAATAATTTCACGCTGTCAGATGTCCCATTCCGGGTTGTGATGGTTCTGGACATGCGACTGGAAAATTTTTGTCGCACCGAAGGTAACTTTAATAACATCTAGTTGTTTATACATAATTCAGTTAGAAATCTTATACGGTTTTATTTTATATTGGTTTATGTAAAAAGCGTACTTCAGAGTATGTAACTCGTGTTACCTCTACATTTTTTAAATGACTTAAAGAAAGATATTTTGTACACACAAAAATATTGTGGGGTTATATGTACTTGTTTGTACAGTGCGATCAAAAAGTCTTTCTATCAAGTAGACGGACTAATTGAGGACGTATGTCGCTTGGAAGTTTGTATGTCAGCTAGATGTCAAAAAATAATTTTATAAAAATTAAAATATTGATCTAAACAAATTGAATTACTGTATGAAACGTCTTAAAACACCCTAAAATGAGATGTAGTTGGAGTTTATTCATACAAATCGTTCACCACGTTTTGTTGTTACAGTTTACAAAAAAAAATATTTTGACATTTCTTATTTACCATTGTGACATTTTATCTTCCGCAGACACACGTTTTAAATTTCTAGGCTTGCTTGATAAACTTTTTGATCGCACTGTATAAATCAATTTTCAAAAACGCCTAGAATTTAATAGTAACTGTGATTTTTTTGTCTTCAAAAGATTGATAAAAATGTTACAATTTTTAACTGTATTTAAAAAATTTATTTAGGGTTTTTCTAAAAATCGTTTCTTCAACCATATTAAGCTCAAATAAATAGTTATTTTTATAAGTAACTAAAAACAGTTTTCGCCGACAAGGCGAAGCCGAGTCTGGAATAACAGATGAATCCACAAAACCTTTTTAAGTTACGTGTTACAAAAAATGTTTGTGTGCATCTGTCAAAAAACGTCATTTTTTGCTTGATTTTGAGTCATGAAATAGCACATTTGTTTATAATAAAATAAAGCCTTGGCAACGTAAAAAAAAAGACTTTTTTACTGGCCGACAAAGACTTTTTTACGGGTCATGATCTTTAATGAAATGAGCTTTTATAGATAATTCGAACGTTATTTATTAATATATGATTATTACTGAACAAAAGATTCTTAATTATTAAAATAAAAATTGAATGTGCTACCGCTAGTATTATTTAAATTGATACCAGAGGAAGATGCAATTGCACACAAAATTTTGTATGCCACATGGCCATGAACTATCTTTTTTTTATTCGAATGATTATTTGGCTCGGCCTTCGCCTCTCCAAATAATATTCATTCTCATAAAAAAGTCCTAGTTCACGGCCTTGTAACATAAATAACTATTTTGTTAAAGCTCCCAAAACCACATTCAAACTTTTTATTATACAGGTGCGCCAGAACTCGCGCCCCAGAGAATAATGCCATATAAGGTTAGATACCAGGAACATGGAAAAAACGTTAATTTTTTTTTATCTATAATAATTTCGAAGTTATGAGGGTTTAATGTTTGTACTTTGACTCTATTTATTTCTGTTGGAAAAATAATTTTCCAAGTTTTTTTGCTATAGGTTATTAAAAGAGGAAACAAGGAAGCTGTATCCTAAATTGTAACTCTGTTCAATGTTATTTGTAGCTTTTATTGGCAAATTTTTTGTCCTTTTACTAAATAATTGTAAAAAAACATATATGTACAAGATCATCAGTATCCTTAAATAAATATAAAAAAAATTCAAATGTCAAAAAATAAATGTCAAAATTTTTTAACAAATAGAATTTTTTAAACATTTTTTTCATGTTCCTGGTATCTAACCTTACTAAAAAAAAATTCCTGGGGCGCGAGTTCTGGCGCACCTGTATACATAGTGTGCCAGAACTCGCGCCCCAGAGAAATATGTCATGTAAGGTAAGACACTAGAAACATGAAAAAAATGTTATCTATAAAAATTCCGAAGTTATGAGAGTTTAAATTTTGCAATTTGACTCTACTTATTTCTGTTGGAAAAATGATTTTCCAAGTTTTTTTGCTACAAGCTATTAGAAGAGGAAACAAGAAAGCTGTATACAAAATTGTAACTCTGTTTAATGTTATTTGTGGCTTTTATTGGCAAAATTTTTGTACCTATACTAAATAATTATAAAAAAAAAACATATACAAGATCATCAGTATCATTAACTAGACATAAAAAATGTCAAATGTCAAAAAATAAATGTCTAAACTTTTGACAGATAGAATTTTTTAAACATCTTTTTATGTTTCTGGTATGTATGTATCTTACTTGAAATTTTTCTCTAGAGCGCGAGTTCTGACACATCTACCAAAAATGGTGGTTAAACATACAAAATAATACCTAATACCTACTATTTTATTGCGTTCATTTTAGAAATGTATATGAGTCTGTAAAATAGATTTTTATGTGAGTGTCTACAAAAAACTATATAAATATGCATACTTACTTCAATTTTTTTAGTGCATCTGGTTGTCCCATTGCAAATCGGAACAAAATGCGAGTACTAGAAAGTGGAGGATCAGTGGAACAGCACAAGGCGGCGGTAGCTGCAGCAACTGCAATGAAATTTGAAGGAGTCAATTGTCCCACTCCCGGCTGTGATGGTACGGGACATATAAATGGTTCTTTTTTAACCCATCGTTCTTTGAGCGGCTGTCCTGTGGCAGGACAGTCTATTAAAAAAGCAAAATTTCCCGAGGAAATGCCTTTTTACACGAAAGGATATACAGGTTAGCATTAGGATATTTCATACACTTTTTTCTAAAAAGTACTGTTTTCATATAAGATGGTATTAACAAAGCATAAGCTTTTTATAGGTTTGGAGCAGCCTAATAACGGTGAAGATCTAATGACATTGGAGGCCGAAATAACAGAACTCCAAAGAGAAAATGCAAGAGTTGAATCTCAAATGATTAAACTGAAATCTGACATTAATGCCATGGAAAGTCATCTCAGTCACGGGGAAAAGGTAAATATTTTTTTAATTAAATTAATGCTTCAATTCGTTTTTATAATATTGACCCATTTGCATAATACTCTTCTTGAAAAAAGTGCAAGTGTACAATATTACATATTTTGTACAGAGTGGACCAGAAATATTAACGTTTTCTGGAAGTGCACTAAATTTGGCGTCTTTTCATTATTAATATACACTTTTCAATAGTCCTATGTCTACTACAAAAAAAACATTCGCAATGCATGAGAAATTACTATAATAGTTATTTAAATTCGAGTGAAGTAACTGATATTTTACAGGGCAAAATTATTTTTTTGATTTGACGATGCGTAGCTGAGTGTGTTAAAAAATTGAGCCCAGTAAAATAGTTAACACGCAACATTTGTATTACATTTTTGGCATAATACTTTTATAAAAAAAGAAATACATTTTACATTTGATGTCAATAACAAAGACACGTCAATCAAATGGTGATGGCTTGACGCACCACTAAAATTAGAATTAAATACTCAAAAAAATTTAATCATTCAATAATTACACAGTTGTGTAATAATTAGTAATTCTAATAATCAAAAAAATCTACTATTTTTGAATTAGTATATTTCTGATAATTTTAACCGATTCATTCAAATTAAAAAAATAAATTTTTACTGTATGTGTTTTTTAAAATTGAAAGTCGCAAATTCTGCCAAACGTATTCATACGTATACAATAATTTTTTTGTCACTTACTGTTGTCCTAAAACTAATAAAATAAGCGGAAAATTCAAAATCATATTAACAAAACTATCCTATCCTTAAGAGTAAAAATTGATGCAACACCGGGACAACTAAACCAAATTAGATTTATTTCAACAAAAAACATATTACGAATAAATAATTAAAAGTTAATAATTAAAATAATAATTTTTCAATGACAATTAATAGTACATTATATTATAAGTGATAGAAATGCATCATTATACGCGAGTGAGAATTTTGACCGACAAGTGCGCTTGTGGGACACTTCTCACAAATTTCATAATGGCATTTCGATCACGTCTAATATACGACGTTTTATCTTACAGGTGCAACTATCCAAAAAATGAAGTTTCATTCAAGTAAAATATTCACCTATAAGAATATAATATAATAGTCAAATTTACTCACTTGTGAGTACTTTATCTCACTTGTGAATAATATTTGATTTGTATCACCGAAAACAATAGTCTAAGGTAGCTCAAAAACTCAACCTGTAAGATAAAAAAATTAATTTTAATGTGAAATTACAAACAATCAAAAAAAATGTGAAATTGCCAACAAATTGACAAAATTATTGTAGTACATTTTTTATGGAAAATCGTGTCGATTGACATGTTTTCTTTTTAAGTAGACATAAGATTATGTATAAACAAAAGTTAAAGAAACATGTTTTGAAAACCAAGACCTAATTTTAAATATAATATTTGCACATACTTTGATTAAAAACTGTAACAGGCATAAAACAACGAGTTTTTTTATGAATAATTATCAGTCAATACCTTTCTTTATAAAAATTACTTTTTTCAAATAAAGTTTTAAAAAATTGTGAAAATTGTTAGCATATTACTTGTCACTTGTACGTTTATTCCTTGATATTTGTTTTTTATTAAAATATTGTGCATATGGGATATTTAAATAAAGTCGGTTTAGATAATAATAATTAATTGGCGTCTGCACCTAACACATAGTTTCATATCCACCAGCGTTATAAAAAAGCAATAGGACTACACTAACCCTTTCCCACCAGGAAACTCAAGCATTGACTCAGCGCTCCAACAATCTAAACGAATACTACGAAAGCTTGAGAAACAACGTGATAACGCTATTAGAACATGTCCGATTGCCTGGCGGTGGTGCTCCAACGCCTGAGAAAATCGGTCAAGAAAATTTCGATTCATACTTGACCAAACTGCAAACACTCTGCACACCAGAAGGATACTGTAGTGATGAAAATAGGCCACTGTATGAAACTGTCAAGTGTGCATTACAAGATTTTACGGTCCTTCCAACGCCTATATAAGTGTATGTGAGTGTTGAAATCTGGCATTGGCAAGTATGTAGTGTGTAAACCATCTATGCCAGATTTTCCAAGTTAAATCATTTGTACGTAATTATAAATTGTGATTTAATGTAAATAACGTTCATTTGTATAGATAATACTGGATTATTATTATGCTGTATATTTTTAACTGTACATATTAAAAGGATACGAAGACGAACCTTAAATGTATAAACGTTTGTTGATTTGTATAATTTTGTTTTAATCCACTTTCTCGTCTGCATTATTTGTTAGTAGACATTAGAAATTTTTACTTTCCTAAGTGGCAGAAAAATATGTAGATCCTTGTCATTGCCATATTTTTAGATCTGTGATTTGTAATTAAGTGAATTGATTTTGTCTAGACTCCAGTGTTATTTGTAATAGTATAATAAGTATAATATAATGTGCAATACGCAGTAAAAAACTCGGATGAAATGCAAGTTTTTTACTACTCTCAACTCGTTATTATCCATGCCAAGTTTCTTGTTTTGTTATTATTTTTTATTACTCAAATAAAGTTTTTTACTGTGCTGTTTACTACTAAATTGTTGTGTAATGTGTAAATAAAATAAATGAGCATAGCCACTCTTATCATTAAATATTATTTGTTCACACCAAATGTCTATGTTAACATAAATACATGTGTTGTTATTTATTACAAATAAACTCTAAAAGAAGTAGCTCCTGCCGTCATTAACTTGATACGAAATTGTTGTATAATAATTTGAAATTTTCCTTACCTTGACCAAAAAAAAAATAGAAGATAGGTATACTTACTTTGTTTTTTTTTATATATAAACAATCAAAGTGATGTTAAGTGTACAAGATGTGTACAAGCGTCAGATTACATTGAAATTGTCACATTCAGTAGCATGGAAGACGTAAAATAAGATGGAAGGTTGACATACGCACGTGAACTGCACGCTCCATGGGCACCGTCATTTGGTCCTCAAAAATGCACCAGCAGTGCAGTTTAATGTTTCTGTTGCAGTACTACTTGCCTACCTCAGTAATAAGTAATATAAATTAATAAAACATAAATATTAGTACAAATTTTTAGTGATGTCTAAATATTATTGAAATTCGTAAACACCTCCATAACGTCAACCGCGAAGAAGGCTACCAGCATTTGAAATAACGCGATCCCCCACTCCCAGCCTCCCTCACGCAACGACTATCCCCATCTACCAATCACAATGTCATTTCCTACTACTCGTCTATAAATACCGCTGTCTCTTCAATTTTCGGCAGTTATAGTTTCGCCACTGGTATCGTTCAAATATTGAGTTAGCGTGCCATAACCTCCCCTTTCCTGTCCTGAAGATGCCCCTTACAACAGCGGGCGAAACGCTGCCTTTTCTTCTAAATTGACGCGGTCTAACCCAATAAGACCCAGATTTCAACCTGACTATGCCCGCGAAAGCCTACGTTCTTACACTGGTATTATTGGTTATCTACCAAATGGATGCCTCCATGCAGCGTGCACTTTTACTGGGTGTTTTAGCTTTCCATCTTGTTTTAAAAATTGTTCTCAGTGGACGATACATTTAACCTAACTTAATAGTTATCTACAAACCTTTTTCAAGTGTAATTCAGAAAACGTAAGAAATATTTCAGTGTTAATCGTAATTCAGATAAGTTATTTAATTTTTTGAAACTTATCTGAATTACAATTAACACTGAAATATTTCTTACGCTTTCTGAATTACACTTGAAAAAAAAAATTGAATTCAGATTAGTCAATTGTATTTCAGAAAGTGTTAATTTTAATTTAGAATTAGTCATTTGTAATAGAGAATTCGTCAATTGTAATTCAGAATTCGTTATTTTCATTTAACAATTGCATTATCAAAATTTCTCTGAAAATAAAATATTTAATTTATTTTGTAAAATACCATGTTTATGTAATTTTTTATCCTGAAAATAAAATAGTTTGTGTTAATGTGTAGCTTTCATTCTGAGATAATAGTAAATTACTCATCTGAACTACAATCGATATTTTTTGGATATATGTAACATGAAATTGAACTGTTTTGAATTACATGTAATAGTTTCTAAATTACAATTATTAATTTCTGAAATATAATAATGGACTAATCTGAATTACATCTGATGGTTTCTGAAATTCATTTTACTCTTCTGAATTATAATAGAAGTTTCTGAAAGACAAATGACTAATCTGAATCACATGTGATAGTTTATAAAAAATGTGTAGTGTGAAAATATTTTTACAAAAAAAGTTAAACAATTTCTCATCACATTTTTCAAATAATATTCAATAGGACAATGATAATCTCATTCCACGAAAGGATAGGCGTAAATAAGATTCTAATTTTCGTGGTTTTAGAGATACTAGGTACATATTTTATAGATGATTTCTTGTTTTGCAAAAGACGTTCTTTTGTTGTAATTGTTTCTGAAGTCACATAAAATCGTCAGTAAAATCGACACTAAATATTTTACTCTTCAATTTTGAAATATGTAATGTTAATATTCTATCTGTCAACAAATCTTGACCTTTTTTATGTCTATTTAATGTTACCGATGATTTTTTTTTATAATTAATTAGTAAAGATACAAAAATTTTGGTAATAAAAGCAACAAATAACTTTAAACATAATAGCTACAATTCAAGATACAGCTTCTTTGTTTCCGCTTTCAAAAGCCTGCAGCAAAGGACATGTAAACATTATTTTTACAAACAGAAATAAATAGGGGCAAAGTGCAAAATTTAAACCAAGATAATTTTGAAATTTAACATTTTTACTTAGTATTTTTCTTTGGAGCGCGAGTTTTTGGTTACATTGGTAAATGTAACAACGCTTAAGCGCAAAAATAGAATTTTTACTCCGTGGGGAAAAGAAATTTTTTACTTGTGCCATTTAGTCATAAAAATTGCCACTTTTGTGACGTTTGCTTATAAAATAATTTTACCAATTCTTGCTTATTAATGTTATAACTGTAATTACTGTTCTGAATTTTTTATTACCAATAAAAAATATAACTTCAACAAAATAGTGTAATACAAAAAATAATAAACATAAACTGAGATTAGTAAATTGACTAGGTACTTCTCTGCAATTTTAAAATTGCATAGTGTACGCAGAATAAATATACTTTTTATCCATTCACAACACACGCACCAATTTATCAATAAAATACCCAATGAGCAATGCTCCTAACGTCATTTAGCGATAGTGATTCAGACGAATACATTGTTGAAAAAATACAAATAAAAAAAATCATCATAACTAACTGTTTTTAGTAATACTTGTATTTACTTAGATTCATGGCACCTGCAGCAACTATGATTAAAATTTGCAAATTCACAAGAAAAAATATGCAAATAAGCTTAATTTGGCCAAGAGACTTTGAAGAACTTAACCCTGGAAAATGGTACTACATAAAAATTGCTGTTTTTTTGCTGACTTATGGACTTTTTCCTTTTTGCACGTTTTTGCATTTAATTGTGACAGTAAAAAGTAAGTTATTATAGATTCTTTTATAAGCTTAGAAAGACATTTTAGACCATTTAGATATTCCAGTTAGCGAGAACATCGGAGTAGTAGTGTCGAATATCGGCATTTCTTACATGGCAATAATCTACGTGCAACAGCAAAATAAAATAGCTCAACTTCTCAAAGATTTATCAGATTTTAAAGATTTCGGTACCCCACCTTGTTTTGAAAAACAAAACAAAAGATTAAATTTCTGGTCAATTTGCGCATTTATTTATCCAACTTGTGGTGCCTCTTTATATAACATTTCAAAACTTTTCGAAAAATCAGAATGTAATAAAATTTATCAACAAAATGGGTTACCTCTTACATGTGGATTTATATTTCCAATATGGGTTCCTTTTAATATTAATTATTTTCCTGTTTTTCATATTATTTTAATCTGCACTTGGTTTTGCACTACGATGTTTGTAAGACTACATTTATCAATTTCGTACAACGCTTTCGAGATAGCACATCATATTATTTTGAGAATCAAACATTTAAATGAAATGATACTCGAATGTTTTGATGACGAAAATTATAAAATTAGTCGGAAAAAATTTACGAGGTGTGTTTTGTACTACAAACAAATATTAGAGTAAAGTTTTTATCACAAAAATCGCAACGTTGACTAAAGCAAGATTTTTAGTTTGTCAAGTAGACTAAATGACAGTTTTTCAAGTATCATGTTTGTCCATTTTACTATGACCTCAGCTGTTTGCGGATGTTTAGAAAAACAATTTGTTGATGTAAGTGATTAAATTATGACAAACACACAAAATTCCGTTTCAGGGTGAATACGTCGGTGGCTTTATTCATCTAGTAGGATGGATTATATCATTATTTATTGCATCAGTTGGAGGACAAGATCTTGTCAATGCTGTAAATTTTAACAAAATTTTATTTCTATAAGAAAGTTGAATCTTGTAGAGTGAGTCTATTTCGGAGGCTATTTGGTCATCAAAATGGTATTTAGCAGACGTTAGATTGAAGAAAGATGTTTTATTCATGCTTATGAGGTCTCAGAAAGATCTTCACATGAGTGTGGGATCCTTTGGAGTTCTATCTTATGCTTTTTTTGTATCTGTAATAACTTTCGATTTTTTTTTATTAATCAAGTACATGTTTTTATTTCAGGTCTTAAAAATGTCGTACTCAATCTTGGCAATGCTGACTTCATAACTTTACTTGACAAAACAAAGTGAAGTAATGTGTTGAAGTAAAAATATTGATGGCATAATATTTTGGATGTAGATACTAGTACAAGGTATGGAATTATTTTTTTTAATTATGTGTCGTTTTATTATTTTTTTACAGTTTATTATACAACGAAATTTTATTAATCACTTGTGAATTTTTCGTGACATATTTTTTCAATTTCGTTTTTTCATTTTTACGATTTCTCACACAAAAAAATATATTTAGTTAACTAAATGTCACAAGTAAAACTTTTACCTTTCGCTTAAGCGTTTCTACGTTTACCATTACTTTATTGACATTTACCAATGTGGCTCTTTCCTGCTTTAGCAATCATCTTCATAAACATTCGACATTTTCCACTACTAACTGCACTAGTTAAACACATCTCACCACAAATTTCGATATTGAGGCGCTGAATTATTTGCCTCAGTACGTTTAACAAAATAAATATTCAGCTTTATCAAATAAACTATAACTTCTAATAACATAATACACTATTTTTCACTACTAGCTGTAAAAAATACCATTATTTAGTTTGTCGAGAGGTTGTGAAGTTGTTTTTCTCTCCTAGTTGTCAATAATCATTTTGATTATGAACCAAGGGCGGGTTATATTGTGGGTAAATGCCGATGTTGGAGGGTATTACATTGATAAAAATATTTCTAGAATATTATTATTTAAAACTATTGCCATCACAAGTACTAATGGAAGTATTTCAAGATGAAATTAATGCAAAATCAAATAAAAAAGCCTTAAATTTCCTTATTACAAACAGCAGAATACCTAACCCCAACTCTAATACTTCTGTCTATGTCAAAACTGTCAAAACAACAAGTGGGTTCTTTCTTGTTAAAAGCTTTAATAGTTGCAGAAGTACAAAAATGACATAACCACATTTACGATAAGAAGAAAATAGTACCTCCAATATAAGTTCATAATTCAGATAAGTAATTACTGTAGGTAATAGTGAATTAACAAAATTAATAGTTGTGAATTACAACATGTTCGTCTAAGGCAACAAACATGTCCACTAAGTAAGGTTATATTTTTCACCGTTGTATTTCTGGGTAATAAATATGCTAGTAGTGAAACGTTTAAAACACGGTATAGAAGATTTTTATAGCTTCGCATTTATTATTTAAATAAACAACTCGGCTATAAAAAATCTCTTCTCTACTTTGTGATATAATATACTTACATACTACTTATTATTAAATTTTTTTCACTGCCAGAAAATTATCGGGATAGCAATACCTACTACAACAGCTTCACTTTTTATGACAAACATTAAAATTATAAATTTATTCAATTTTTTATTAATTTTAACTCAAAAAACATGTATTGCTAAAACTAGTTTATAAAGTAATAATAAAATGAGAGAAATAATAAACATTTTTCATGTGCAAAAATAATAAATTTATTACATTTGTGTTGTTGTTTTTACAGAAATAGTCTATTTATCCAGTATTTAAAACATAAATCATATGTTCAATTAAGCCATATTCCGCAACGCCTGGGAATAATTTATTACTCTCAAACTATTTAATCATTAGGTGAGAACGCAAAGAATAGAATAAGACATTTTCAAAACCTAAAATAATAAATGGTAAATAAATTAAAATATTGAAGCGTAAGAGCCGGTTTCGAGAATATTTAATTGTAATTCGCAACTAATTTAACGTTTATTAAAAAACTAAATGACAATTAATCTTGAATTAAATTTAAAATTCCCTTCTATAAACCGGCTTTAAATATTTTGATTTTTTATTTACCGAAACGAATAGTGCATATGAAACAACACCAAAAGGTCCGGCAGTTATGTTAAGATCTCTTTGTGACCTCATCATCATTAGTATTAAATCTCTTCTTAATCTCACATCAACGTTGTACCATTTTGATGCCCAAATCGATTCCGGAATTGTATCACTCTGAAAAAATATAACAATTATGAAAACGACACAAATTCAAGTTTTTTATCAACGGCATCTTGTGGTAAAAATAATAAACGCATAGACCCGCCATATCTGACCTGACTTGACCTGATCCGCCATATCTTGATTGAGCGTTGACAAACCAAATTTGTATTAATCAAGAAAATGTCCTCGACTAAAAAGTTTTCTATATTATTTGTGCGTTAGGTATTTTACAACCACAAGTCTTATTAATGTTTCAATATTAAAACTTTACGCCGTATTCCTACCACACTTTAATGTAAATAACTATTGTCTATTGAATAAAATGGGTTGTTTCACGTTTATTTAGGTAAACCCTACCGCATTAATAAAATGTTGGCCTCCCAAACATCCAATAAATAATGCCAAAATCCACCCAATAAAATGTAGAATAGCACCAAACGTACTAATTCCCTGTGAATGGCGAAATATTAGTTACAAAATTAGCAGTGAATGAGAAACATTGGACAGTTTTTTACTTAATCAACTGTAAAATGTTTCTCATACAAGGTTTGCATAATCATACTGATACTATTTGTTTTTCCAAACAGGCGCAAATTGCTCCAGTTAGTGTAAGATGTGCAAACATGCAGTTTGAAAAGCAGTCATCAACTCTTGTTGCAAATCTGGAAATTATTGATGTTATGTAAACAAAGTTCAATTTCAGAAACTTACTCTAGTATTTCAATGTGATATAAAATACATTGTCTTAGTTTTCTTCTACATATGTGATAGTCAGGCTCATCAAAACATGTAGTAAGCATTATTTTCAAATGATTTATTCTTAAAATTATATGGTGAACCATCTCCAAAGCATTGTAAGACACTATCAATGGTAGTTTCATGAGCAGATGGCAGCACGTAAATAAATACAAAAAAACCAGTTGAAATTGTGGAAAATGATCAACTTTGAACGGAATCCATACTGGAGATAAGAGACCACAATTTTCATGTAAATCGTGTTCCTCATTAAATCTTTCACATGCATTTTTTTGAGACAGTTTGTAAAAATTGTAAAAAGTTATCGTAATAAATGCGTGAATAAAAACGACAATAATGTAATTTTTTAATCGTCTCTCTTCCTCTTCAAATCCTGGAGGTACACCAAATTTTTCAAAATTTGATAAATCACGAAGAATTCGAGCTGCTTTCTTTTGATTTCTCACGTAAGCTAATACCATGTAGTAAGTGCCATAAATGGCAATAATTATAGCAGTTTCTTCGGTCACATCCCAGTTAATTTTATCTACAAATGAAACAAAATTATGAGCGACTTAGCTATTTTAAGATGACAAGAGTTTTAAAGACAGTTTAAAAAGTGAGGTTGTAATTTAAATTCGAGCGACCGATAGGAAGCGAGATGTTTATACAATAAACTTGTGTTGTCTTCAAAATTATTTCCAAAACTAATATTGGATCAAAAATTTTGTGAAATTCAGAAGTTGTTATAAAGAAATTTAAGAGTATTTTATGTACTCATAAAGTGGGTTGTGATTGACGACATACTTTATAAAAGAGCGTATGTACCTTGGTGAAGGATAAGAGGTAAGCTTAAATATAAAATATTAGTGTTAGAAAAAAAAAAAAAAACGTTTAACGTTTGTCTACTTCAAAACACACACGTTTTAATTTCGTTTAAAAAATCACCCTATATACAAATGTAGTAGGACACACAATTTTGACACTATTATAGCAAGTATAATTTAATTCACTCATAAGTTAAAAAATATCGTTTAATTTTTTAAAAGTATTTATCAGCAAAACGTCCATTACAAAATATAATTTTTTCTATATTCTTTTATTTAAAAACTTACCTTTTAAAACAATTATAAAATGCATACATATAGCAATGCACCACAAACTTGTAAACGACAAAAATGTAAATATTCTGATATAATACCACTTTCCCGGATTTATTTCTTCTCCTTCTTTTGGCCATATTAAACTGTATAGAAGGATTTTTCTAGTTACACGGGATACTTTTATTTCACACTCGTTTGAAACCATTTTTTTTAGTTATAAAAATATAGCAATATCATCAAATCTGATAAAAAACAATTAATTCAAAATTATATATGTTTGCAATTATTATAAACGATTAGTTTTTATTATCTTGTTACTCTTCGGCTTTATGAACGGTACAAAATAAAAGATGCAGCAGAAACCGTTTATGTAGATAATGAACAAAGACAAATGAATAAAAGAAAACTTTATAAATACCTAATTAAGTTTCACATTTAAAGCATCAATACACACTTTTAAAATAATAATTAATATGACAACACTTTAAAAATGTATAATAAACTAATATAAACACTGTTCATTAATTCAGTAATTGAAAAACAAATGTTAATTATCTGTCTTTAAAAATGAAGTGTTTTAAAACCCGACAATTTAGAAATTCATAAAGCTTTAATATTAAATTTGGATTAAATTTCTCAAATCTAAAGCTTTTATTATCTATTTAATTTTTTTCAACGTTAATGTGCTTACCACTGCTCCACCATTCCCTAACCGGTGGAAGAAATTTTGACAACAGATAAAGTTTATAATTTTTTTAACATAAATTGTAGGTAACATTTTGAATAAATATTTTTATACATTTATAAAATGCATAAACATATCTTTGTACAACAATAAATAAAAAACCGTTTTTATAAGAAAAGAATTATTAGTATGGTAATCTCAAAAGTTTAAACAATTAATTAAAATAAAAAATATTTTGGCATCGCTTCTTTACAACTTTTAAACATTTACACTGGTAGTATGCTTAAAAAAAATCTCTAATACTTGTTAGTCAAACATTTTTTTAACAAAAAGTGTGTTTACCCAGCAAATTGTGGTAGGTTTCCATTTAAAAAAAAGTTACTATGTTTATCTGGTAAGTACATATAAACAATTAATTGATATTCAAATGTTTTTTGAATAGCATTTTTATACCAATTGCACACCTATAATTTTATTTGCCAAAAAATTGATAGTTTTGCCAGAAAAGAAATCGTTTTCAGACTTCTGGACCACTCTGTATATCAAATGTATTTTGTCTAAAAAACATTAAGACACAAATAAATTGCTTTCATGAATAAACTAACAAGAACTGTTTTGTTGTTCTTAAATGATTTAACCAACAAACAATTTGTTCAAAACAAAAACAACTTTTTTAAATTTATTTTAATTTTATTTGTTATTATTGGTTTTAATAAATAATTTGATATTTTTAGTAACTGTAATGTTACAATAACTTTATAAGTTGCGGTCTCAATATCAGTATGGTAACTATTTGCTTTCGTTTTTAATTAAGAATAAAAAAATATATACAATGGATAAATTGTAAAATCGTTACATTTTTTTTATAATTCGCAAACCATTGATCGATTTTAAATTCCTTGGTACATTTCGGTAGACAATTTTATGCTTTTTGCAACATTTACACTTTTTATCAAGAATGTTGTTAAAAATTTAATAAGCTAAATGATAAAATTCTCTTAATGAATTTGCCTAATTTAACTCGATATTTGAATTAACGTGTTTTTCATTATTCTAAATATTCCTTAAAATCAATAGGTCATGAGAAGGGGGAGAGTAATAAATTATAACGTTACTGTTGGTACTGTTCAATAAATTTATTTTGAAAACTGTTTTAATACAAGCAATATTTTTTTTTAATAATCTTGCAGTGGATGAAACTACATTACATATAAAATTTTTAAAGGTGCAATTTGCTATTTGAAAGATTCCTAAAAGTGAGCATTTTATGATGTCATCACACAGAGAATCGAGTATGAAGTTTTTAAAACCTGCAACACTTTAAAGTCCAATTTGTCATAAAACTTTGGTTTTCACTACCGTAACAAAAAGTGGATAACAGAGAATTCCGAAAGGACCAGCTCGTATAAAAAGAGATTTTTGTGATCTTGCAAGCATAAAAAGCACATTCTTTTTTAACTCCAAATCCGCTTGATACCATTTTGCGGCCCAGATAGCACTTGGTAAAATTTCGCTCTAAAAAAAAACATGTTTTCAAACTTGTTAACTAATTTTTTACTAAATTTACAGCATTAATCAGATATTGTCCAGCAACGCAAGCAACAAACAGCGCCAAAATCCAGCCAAAAAAATGCAAAGTACCTGCAACAACATTAACTCCCTAAAAATTTAAGTGAAATAAGTATAATTTAATTAAACAAATTGTTACCGAGATAATTTGCTTTTCCAAGCAGGCACATATTCCACTAACTAAAGCCAAGTGACCAAACATTGCATTAAAAAAACTGTCATCCAGTCTAGCCGCTAAACTAAATATTTTTTTAAATATACTATTTGAAAAGTTTATTAAAACTTACTTCAATATTTCGATGTGATATAATATGCATCGTAAAAATTTTATGTGACGAATATCATTCCGATTTTCATTAAGAGATTCCAAAATCATGTTTTTTAAATGTTCAATCCTTAAGACAATGTTACATACAATTTCAAAGGCGTTGAAAGAAATGGTTAATGCCAGTTTGATTAGCATGTAACCACTTAGAAAAACATAAATTAAAACCAGTTGAAACACAGGGAAATAATCTATCTCAAACGGTAACCAACATGATACAAGTAATCCGCAATAATTATTATTTAATCCTTTTTCCTTATTTATTCTCTTACATTCCTTCTTGTTTATTAGTAGTTTACCGTTATAAAATATCGTAGCAAGTAATGTGTAGAAATACAAAACTTTAGCTAAAAAGTTTAGTTGAACATTCCGTTTTTCAAAATTTGGAGGTTTTCCAAAACTTTTGAAAACTGAAAGATCTCGCATCAAAAGTGCCACTTTATGTTGGTTTTTTAAATAGGCGCATGTCATGTAATAGGAACCATAAAGGGCAATAAGAATTGCAAACTCTTCTGCATCCATTTCGTGACCAGCTGCAAATTGTTACTTTAAATTACTTAATAAGAACTGCTAAAGAAATATACCTGTAATAGTTACACAAAAATGGAGTGTAAGAGATAAAACTAACAAACCAGTTATTACAAAAAATCCTAAAATAGAAATTTTGTATTTTATTCCCGGATTTAATTCAGTCTTTTCATCTGGCCATAGAAGATTGTATTTTAAAAATTTTCGAGTCACAATAGAAATTTTGATTTTGTCGTTTTCCATCATGTTTCAAAATTATATTTTTTTCTTGTTGTTCTTTGAAATGAAGCTAACTGTCAACTGCTTCTAAAAGGTAATGCATTTTACTGAGCATAAAGTAATTGATTATTATGAACAAAAGACGCATGACCGATTTCTAAGAACTTTATCTGGACCTACCTACAACGTAACATACAATTTCAGAACTATGATTATGTGAGTGGGATAATTTTGGTTAAAAAGTTTAAATTATTTTCTGAAGTCGAGTTCCACAATAGAACACAGTAATTGAAAGTTTATATTATTGATGATAACATTTTTTGTCTAAAATGATGGCGTTTTATACATCTCTTCTTTGGACGTAATTTCAACTTCTTACGTATCTAAACATGTGTTTCCTTTTTGAGAATAATGCATCTATTTCTTGTACTTTTTCTCCCAAAATAGGTTTTATAAGGTAGATATGAAAAATTAAGTTCACATATTATTTCAAATTTTAATTCTTCTACACATGTTTTTGTAAAAACAATTTTTAAGTCATTTATTTTTTTTTGTAAGTACATAAATGTTGGCTAAAATCAATAGCAAATGCTACTTTTCAAATGAAGAAATTTATAATAATAAAATGTAATTATAAAAAAATCTACGTAGTACGTCGATGTTTCAAAGAACGAGATAAATAAAAAAAAGTTTCACACTTTTAATTAACAAAAACGAATATTTTTGCAGAAGCAGTTTCATTTTTGCAATGCAAGAACAAGAAATTAATTTAAAAAAATATGAAAATATACACACTCAGACTATAAAGTGAATTCTGGTCTGATTCAAAATAAATCACCTTACTATAAATACGAACCAGACTTGTTTTTAGAAAATGATAATTACAAACTTTATTGGGATTAAACAGTTTGGTCACAAATCACACGTCTGGTTTGCGTTGAAATAAAAAAAATGATTATTTAGTCACCTAACTCAAAATTTTTAATTGTGATACTAGTGTTTGATGCACTAGCAGGTACAGATTTATTTAGTGTAAAAAGTTTATAAATAAACAGTTAGTATAAAAAAAATCACGGCCTTATACAGGGTGTAACAAAAAATGGGGACAAAAAGTAACCAAAGATTCCCCAGTTCAAAATAAAGTGATTTAATAATGCCAAAGTTTAAAAAATATTTTTAAGATAGACTTTTGCTTGAAAATATTTTGTCCAATTTTAGTTTTGCGTGGGTACTTTGTTTGTTAATGAACATTTCTTAATTTAAACCTTTTATCAAGATGATTTTTTAATTAAAATTCTTTGAAAATATTTGGTTTTATGTTTAAACATTTAAAGAAAAATACAATATATTTACAATCACACGGCTCCCAAATTTTAAACCTATAACCAGAAGAAAAAGGACTAAGTGAATCACCCTAAAAAATACCTCTTTTAATTTGAATAAGATCTGTTTTTAAATTATTGTTTTCTAATGTTAAATTTAAATTAGTTTTCTAAAAATTCATAATATAATTTAAGAATGAGAACTATATTAGATTCACTTGCAACGATGGATGGATGCAAACACGGACGACCCTCGATGAGTCACAACCTTGTAAATATTTAGTTAGGGCCAAATGGTACCGTAAATAAGTCCATAGAAATTACCCCAAGCCAAGCACTAATGGAATACCGTGTAGTTTCAGAAGATTTGTCGGAAACGCAAGATCGAAAGGTAGTCGATGTGACTGCATTACGAGCACAGATGAAGGAAGAGGCCGACAACTACCAGGCTGAGCCGAAACGCCGTTTTGACGGCTTCAAGTTCACACATCCAAAGTGTGGTCCATTCAAAGTGATGTAGGTCTTGGGCGAAAACAGTTGAGGTACAGACGAGTGGCAGCGGCGAAAAATATGATTTCGTGATGACCTAATGAATGGGGCGAGAATGCCAAGGAGCAGATTGTCTCGGTCCCCATAAAACAGACAGTACTTGAACCCTTGAAACGGTTCTGAGAAAATGCAGTTGTGACGACGGAAATGCGGCAAGGATACGTAAAGCGCATTTGTTGATCAACAGGAATGACAAACAACTTAGCTGCAGACTGCAAATAAACTAAGAAACTAAAACGCACGGTGGTAGAGAACGCGACAACAGCAGAGAGCAGATACCAGAAATCGTTGTCGGGTGGTTAGAGTGCAACGTTTGGTAGAGTTCTCCTAAAAATAAATGAGAACAGAGTCAATTTCTTTATGGATGTAATTATACTTGGTATCCCAATAAAAATATCTCCGAACTTAGCCAGCTGGGTTGGTTTCCGGGGCCGTATTCACTTTATGCAAAGCTTTATGTATGAAAACTGAGCTCTTTAATGGCTAATTTCAAATGCTACGGTTTTTTTTCTGTACAGGTTTTAATAAAAATGTTTTTTATTGGTTGTAGCGTATTTTTTTTAAATAACAGTTTTTTCCCTCTCTGTTAACAAGAAATCGCAAAATCTTGACGCTACAAGGGGTTTTAAACAATTAATAGCTAGGAATTAATATCTAGCTGATAGGGTGCAATAAAGAAATTGAAATAGTTAAAAACATTCAAAGATTTACATGTCGTACATAAATTAATTCAAAATCAAGTTCAAAATCGAGTACGCCACTGGTTGGTTTGTTCATCTATTTTGTCTGATGAGAACAAAAAAAGTGTAGAAAAACCTCAAAAAAATTCCACGCGTTGTCGATATTTTTGGGTTAGTGTATCCTTCGTTGCGAACGTGGAAATAATTATTTATTCACACGGTGAATTTTATAAATTCGGAAAAACCAGGCATGGTGCTGTTGTATGGAGAAGTCGTGGCTAATGCACATCGCTCTCGTCAACTTTGAATAGAGAGATATTCACTGCCACAGATTCCACATTTTACAATATTTGCTTATGTTGTACAATATTTAAGGTATCACGGAAAATTTCAAGCTGTAGGACAAGATCGAGGTCGACAGCATACTGTACGAGTGGTGAACGCCGAGGTGAAAATCTTAGAAACTGTCGAAAAAGAACCAAGAATCAGCACTCGGAGACTGGCTTATCTCTCATTTCACTGCATGGAGAACACTTCGTGAGCAGGGTTTGTACCCTTATCATGTTCAAAAAGTGCAAGCTCTTTAACCGGGGAACCCCAACTTCGTCTACAGTACTGCTAAACAAGATACATCAAAATGAGAATTCTCCATTTTGTGTTTCTTGAATCGAAACGTCTCGACTAATTTAATGGTTTTTATTTCCTTTTGTCCTGTAAACCATCTTCCACGAAATCAGGTTAGAAAATGAGAATTTTGTGAGTGTGGTGCTTTTTACTGACGAGGCTTCCTTTACGCGTAATGGTGTTTTTAATTGTCATAACACACATATGTGGAGTGATGAAAGTCTTCATGCTGTTCATCAAACCCTGCTTTAGGAACAGTTTTCGATCAAGCGGAATTATCGATGATGTTTTAATTGGGCTACACATTTTACCACCACGTTTAAATGCCGACAACTATCTTCATTTTATTGACGAGCACTTAGACATTCTGCCTTTGGCAATCTATCGCGACATGTGCTTTTTACAAGACGGTATACCTCCTCACTCCGCTCGCGCAGTTAATAATCGCTTAAATGAAACTTTTCCAAATCGGTAGATAGGAAGGCATGGTCCTGTGCGTTGACCACCCCGTTCACCTGACCTAAATCCGTGCGATTTTTTTTTATGGGGATGGATGAAACAAATGGTTTATTCCGCGTCCCCATAAACACTGTGCAAGAATTACGGGAACTGTGCAAAATGTCTCTGCAAGAACCAACATCTTTGGAGGAATTCGTGAGAACATGCAAAAACGAGCACGTGCTTGCATCAATAATAACGGCCTTCATTTCGAACACTTATTTTAACAAGTAAAATCTACGTTCTTTCGACTCCCTCGATAAACTTTCATGTTCATCTGCTGGAGCGTCGCGAATGGTACGGATTCAGGGAATTTTGCCGCAGTAAAATCTCGTTAATAAAACTAGTACCACTTGTCCTCATTTTCCGCTCTTTTGCTGTGATTCAAATTTGTCGGAAGATTTAACAATCACTCTGTATAGTCTATGGACACACCAAGCTGTGGATCGGCACTTCGAGGGAAAGGTTGGCGGGCCTTTGGTGGAAAACAAGGTGGCCGGAACAATTCCTCTCCTTGTCCAAAATTAAGTTTAAGTTAGTTTTTCATTTGCGCTATTTAAGATTTGTTTATGTATTTTGTTGTTTTGTTATTGCACTTTGACCCACATTGATATTAATCTTTGAAACTTTTTTGAAAAATTTACAGATTAGGACGAAGCTATAGACGAGAGCCTGTGACCAACAAAAGCTATATTAATTGTATTTGTTTGATTAGTTTTGATAGTTCCTATTTCTTAGTTTTACACAGTTCCAGGTCGATCGCATTGAAAACAAACACTTCGTCAAGTCAGGAAAGGCCGTGACCGTTTACGAAGTACCAAGGGGAAGCGGGACGGGATTCTAGAAAGCGAAAGACGGAAACAACCCCGAGGGCAGACCGACTAGAGACTAGTATTAGTTCCGACTTTTTAAATAAACCTTTAATTAAAATTGTTGTTTTATTGCTAACACAAGGTAAGCATTTTTCCTGGCCACAAATGCCTTGTTTTTTGTACGCTTATGAACATTAATACAGGGTGTTTGTGGATTGCGAGCAAATATTTTAACCACTAAGAGAATTTGTTATGAAAAGTCGAATTAAAAACCAAACAAATTCCGTATCCAAATTTTATTTTTGCAATTTCCCCCCTATGATTTTCACGAGCCGTTCAGTGTGTCTGTCCTTGTTAGTTGAAAGTAAAAATATTAATGAAAATAAATTGGATTGAATGTTGACCGTGAAAGTTTTTATACAGAAAAAAGGAAACTTTTTGTCCAAAAAAATTAACACTTGATTACATGTGTCAGTTTAGTTACTCGTTAATGCGCTTTCGGGTGAATTGTGCCCATCGATTTGAAATCAAATTGTCAATCAAGTCATTATGGCCAACTACTCAATCGCCAAATTAACTAATGTACGGACATCGCACTTCCAAGACCGATTTTCACTAAATGTTTGGGCAGTGATCATTAAAGATCACCAAATTGGACCCCACATATTACCTCAACGTTTAACTAGTGCCGTTTATCTAGATTTTTTGGAAAATGTGTTGTCCGATCTGTTGGAGGACGTGCCCTTGGCGACATGCGGTATTTACAAGTAGAGCTAGATCAGATTATGCCAAAGTCGCCACCAATGGATTGAACAATCATTTTCCCTAGAGATGGATTGGTCGACAATGACCACCGCGGTCACCAGATTTAAATACGTGTGTTTTTGTGTTTTTTTTGAGGGTTCAAATGAAACAATTAGTGAATTAGTGTACGCAGCTCAAATTTATACCTGCGAAGGTGTGTGTGAACGCAAGCTTCCCTAGCCCGAAGAATACAAGAAGTGTGCATTTCCAGCAATTTTTTATAATAGCAAGTATTGACCCACTAACATTAACACTGATCTATCCTAATGTAGCGATAATTTTTTTGTCTTTACGCTGTTTAAGTCCCAAAGTTTTTTCTTATGAATGATTGTAAACATCATATTAAGACATAGGCGGGGACGGGTTTTCAGCCTCAAATTATTTTCAATTTTAACTCAGAAATGACGTGCTTTCGACAAAAGTTGGAATAACGAAAGTTGTTTCTTTTGACGAGTCCTATTAGTTATTAAAATATTTGCTTGCAATCCTCAAACACCCTGTATAATATAATAGTAGATAAAATTATGTTACTAGATAAATAAATTTTAAAGGTGCTACGTGCTATCTAAAAAGAAATCCCAAAAATGACCATTTTAGGAAGTCAGCATACAGAGAATGGAGTATGAAGTTTTTAAAACCTTCAACACATTGAAATAAAATTTGTCCTAAAACATATTACTACCAACTACCGTAACAAAAAGTGGAAAACCGAGAATTCCAAAGGCACCGGCTCGTATGAAAAGAGATTTTTGTGATCTTCTAAACATGAAAAGCACATCCTTTTTTAATTCCAAGTCCGCTTGATACCATTTTGTGGCCCATATAGCATTTGGTAAAATTTCACTCTAAAAAAAAACTAATTTTAAAATTGATCACTTTGACAAATTGTTCACAATTTACAGCATTAATAAGGTATTGTCCAGCAGCACAACCAATAAATAAAGCAATAATCCAGCCAAAAAAATGCAAACTACCTGCAACTACATTAACTCCCTAAAAATTTAAATGAAATAAGTACAATTTAAAAAAAAAAAGTTTACCGAGACAATTTGCTTTTCCAAGCAGGCACATATTCCACCAACTAAAGCCAAGTGACCAAACATGGTATTAAAAAAACTGTCATTTAATCTTGCCACAAAACTAAATAAATTTCTAAAAATATTATTTGAAAAGTTTATTAAAGCTTACTCCAAAATTTCGATGTGATATAATATGCATCGTAAAAATTTTTCATGGCGAATATCGCTTTGATTTTCATTAAAAGTTTCCAGAATCATGTTTTTTAAATGTTCAATCCTAAAGGCGATATTAATTACAATTTCTAGTGCGTTGTAAGAAATGTGTATCGCCACTTTGATTAGCATGTAACCACTTATAAAGACATAAATGAAAACTATTTGAAACATTGGAAAATAATCAATCTCAAACGGTAACCAACATGGTGCAAGTAATCCGCAATAATTATTATTTAATCCCTTTTCCTTGTTTGTTCTCTTACATTCCATTTTATGTATTAGTTGTTCGCCGTTATAGAACATAGTAGCAATAAATGAGTACAAAACCAAAATTTTAGCTACAAAGTTTAGTTGGGCATTTCGTTTTTCAATGCCTGGGGGTTTTCCAAAACTTCTGAAAATTGAAAGATCCCGCATCAAGAGTGCCACTTTATGTTGATTTTTCAAATAACAACATATCATGTAATAGGAGCCATAAATAGCAATAAGAATTGCAAATTCCTCCGCATCTATTGCGTTGACAACTGCAAGTTTCTACTTTAAATTGCTTGCTTTATTATAGTCATAAACATGCCTTTAACTGTGATAAAAAAACGGATTGTGACACATAATGATGTCAAACCAGTTATTACGAAAAATCCTACAACACAGAATTTCTATTTTAATCCCGGATTTAATTCTGCATTTTTATTTGGCCATAAAAGACTATATTTGAAAACTATTCGAGTTACAGTTGAAATTTTTATTTTTTCGTAATCCATCATCGATATATAGCTTAATTTTGCTCTAAATATTTTGTTCTTTCTTCTAACAACTTCTGAATGAAGGTAATGCGTTTTATTCAGTATTGAAGATTTTGTTAAAAGTAATAATCTAATAATAGATTATTATGAACAAACACGCATAAACAATTTTCGAACTATGATCATGTAAATAGGATGATTTTGTTCAAAAGTTAAAATTACTTTCCAAAGTTGAGTTTTGTAATGATGAGCAGTAATTGAATCTTTATATTATTTAACGGTAAAATGATGACATATCTAGACCATGACCTATTATTTAAATGTCTTTAAAACTACGATTGTAATTTTTGGTAAAGCTTTAAAGCTAAAGAAGACGACAAAGTTAAACCAAATGCGTGACAAAAACAAGTATCTTGTCTGTTTTTAGTGATATTTTCGATCCAATTTTAAATCAAAAAATTGAATTGCGTTTTTAAGACATTTACAATATACGCTTACACTCTTGTGATAAAAATTATATATTTTCATTGTTCGAATTTTATATAAATATCCATAATACAGGTGCGCCAGAACTCGCCCCCCAGAGAAAAATGCCATATAAGGTAAGATACCAGGAACATCTAAAAAATGTTAAAAAAATGTTATTTATAAAAATTTCGAAGTTATGAGAGTTTAAATTTTGCACTTTGAATCTGTTTATATTTCTGTTGGAAAAATAATTTCCCAAGTTTTTTTGCTACAGTCTATTAGGAGAGGAAACAAGGAAGCTGTATCCTAAATTGTAACTCTGTTTAATGTTAATTATGGCTTTAATTGCCATACCTTTTGTTACTTTGTTAAAAAAATACATGTAAGTCGCAATATTACCTTCAAATACAGGTAAAAAAGATTTACAAAATTGAAACAAAAGGTAATAAATAAAAACGATAATTGTTTTAAAGAATCTTATTACAAAACAAAACGATAAATTTTCAAATTATATAGTGAATCTTTAGTCTTTCGTAGCTCTCAGAATTTTTTTTTTAAAAATTCTTAATTTTCAAAGTCAACGTGTGCGATTTAAATTTTATTGGATGTCGTGTGTCCAAAAGTCGATAATAGTATATTATGACACGAGTTTTATAAGAAGCATTTTGTCGTACGCACATAAAGAAGTAAGTGCGACAAAATGCCTTATAAACGAGATATCATACAGTATTTTTCCTACCTTGCACTTACTTTTTTAAACAAAAAAAATAAAATTTCGGAATGGAAGGAATTTTGCTGCAGTTTATAAGATTGCGCGGTGGCCATGAAATAAATTAACTTGAAACGTCATTATTTTATTGGTAAAATTACATTCCAAATGTGTCGACGACGTTTTGCAACGTACGTCTCTAGAAATACGGTCCGTCTTGACAGCAAATAAGTTGAACAATTTACTCCCTTTTCTTTACAGTTAGGTAGACTATATCAAAAATCCCCGAGGATGGGGTCCGAGCTCCAAGAAAAGGAGGGTGTTAAAGATGTCTTTTTTTGTTTTTTTTTTGTTTATATCTTGAAAACGATCACTTTTATTGCTTACAAAATTTCCTATAAAAATGGTCCTTTGCATTTTTCTAACCGGACTAACCGTAAGCGAGTTATAGGGCTGACAAAAAAACATTTTTTAAAGAATGTGCTTTATCCGCATTTAAAACAGAATTAATCTTGTGATATAAAAAAATGACAGTAAATTGAATTTATTGCGTGCAACACTTCATTAGAGACTCTATAAAGTCGTCCTCATATGCTGCATCTTCGTCTTCAACTTACACATTGAAAACCAAATTACAGTCTTGTTCAGTACAATATTAATAGATATATAATTTAATATCGATGATTTGAATTAAAAAAAAAAACTTACAGTAAATTGGATGTATTAGGACCAACAGTTAATTAGAGGGTGTCACGGGGGGCTATCAAGTCTTCCTGGTTATCCTTACATGCTGAACTAGCATTTGCCTGCAACTTCGTCCGCATGTATTTCTGATATAAAATGGGAAAAAGACCGTTCACAAAACCATTCCATAGGCTTAGGTACTCTGTAAAGCTGGATAACTACCTATGTTTTGTATAGGATTTAGCTATAGTATTCTCGTTCTTCGCATGGTCTATGTTTATGGATAAATGTTAAATGTTGATTTTCATAAAGTGTCGTCTTAGTGCACTTCTGCACCCTCAAAATTCTAAATTTTATGTTTCTAATTTTGTTTTTAAGCGTTTACATCCTACTTTATTTTGTTAGAATTTGAAAAGCGTTTACATCCTACTTTATTTTGTTAAAATTTGAAAAGTGTACTAATACACCCTCTAAGGATCATATTTTCCAAATTGTACTCGTATGTTTCTATATTCCTTTAAATGTGTACACCGTTTCATTCTATTAAAAAATAATTTTCGAAAGATTTGATTTTAGTGCCCCTTTACACCTTTAAAGAATTTTATGTTTATATCTCTGTTTTAACAGTTACACCCCATTTCACCCCCTTAGAGATTTATTCTCTCTTTCTTCCAAAATTTTTATTTATATCTGCGTTTAAATGTTTACCTTTCAGGCAAACCAGCTTAGTTGAGGAACGCTCTACACAAATAAATACATACTTTCCATATACTAATGAAATGTGTTTCGAAGGATTTTTAATGCAATTTTATGTAAACTCTAAACTTCAGAAGCTTACAGTTAGTCCTACGACAAACATGAATAAGACTATTTTTGTAAGAAATTTTGATGCAGAAGTAGACTTCTACAGAAAATTCTGCATAAATTACATAAACGATGAGTTTGTATTCACAGACCCTCGTGACTCCCCCCTCCTTTAATGAAGTATTGGACCCAGTAAATTCAATTTACTGGCAGTTTTTTCAAATTGCAAGACTAATACTGTTTTAAATAAAGCACATTTTTTAAATAATATTTTTTGTCAGTCCTATAACTCGCTTACGGTTAGTTCTACAAAAAAATGCAAAGAACTATTTTTGTAGAAAATTTTGTAAGCTTTGATAAGAAGGTAAAAACCGATAGTAGTAATCATAAGCAAAAAAACAAAAAAAGACACCTTTAACCTTCTCCCTCTCCTCGAGCTCGCCCTCCACCTTCGGGGACTTTTGATATATGTCTACCCAAGTGTAAAGAAGGCGTTTTAAAAAAATCTATCTCTCTAAATCATCTCAGATCATCAAATACAAAAAAACATAGAAAAACATAAACCTATGACGTATCTTAGTTCAAATTGTTGATTGCACTCGAACGTTCCAAACAATAATTGGAGTCGTCGTTTCGCTCCTTCTCTAAACAATTGTCTTCGATCGTTAAAATGTCCTTACCGTCCTTAATACTTAATATGCTATAATCCGAGCTATAATCTATATTTACAGGAAATATTTACAGTGTTACAATTTGCCAATAGCTCTAAAATTAACGCTTTTCCCAAATTCTGATGCAATTGTTAAGTAAATCATTTGCATCAACTCCGGTCCTGTCTGCAATAAATCCACAACCAGTGTGCCAAAGTTGTCGGCTTGAGGGGTTCTCGGTTTGGAATAATCATAATAAAATTTTATGGTGTATGTACAACTAAAACGTTTTTACAGTAGAGGAGGACATTAGAGGAATTCATTTGTCTGCACTTTAAGTAATAAAAACTTTTAAGTGCAAAAACAGTGGTTTTATTTATTTTGTAACAGTGTTTGATTTTGATCTGCTAGTTTTTACGTAAACTATAAAATATACCTACATTTACTAAATTTACTTTAAACATCGCAATACTTTTTCCGAAACCTTTATGATGTTAGAACACAAAGGATGGAATACGAGGCTTTTAAAACCTACAATTGGAAGAAAATCAGAAAAAAAATATACAGGTAATTCAAAAATGTCGGGCTAACTCTCGAATTGTGATAGAAGACTTTCAGCTAAGCATAAATATGAATGTAGAATTTTTAAGCCTTTTTTGAGAAAAACAGAGCTGTTAATTTCCAAATTATCATGTAAGCATTTTGGCTATTTTGTTTAGCTTTCTATACATGATCTAAACGGTCAAAAACTTAACCCAAAAATTTAACTTTGAGCAGCTTTATCTCGTGAAAGCAGGCTCAAACAATTTTTTGTTTATCACCAATGGCCCGATACTTTTGAATCACCCTGTATGTTGCACATTTTTTACTGAAACAAACAGAGCATATGATACAACACCAAAAGGTCCAGCAGTTATGTTAAGATCTCTTTGTGATCTCATCATCATTAGTAATAAATCTCTTCTTAGTCTTACATCAGCATTGTACCATTTTGATGCCCAAATAGCCTCCGGAATTAAATCACTCTGCAAATATTAATAATTAATTGACTCTCAGTATTTTATGGATGATAACTTACAGCATTAATAAAGTGTTGGCCCCCCAAACAAGCAATAAATAATGCTAGAATCCAGCCAATAAAGTGAAGAATAGCACCAGATCTGCTAACTCCCTAATAGTAAAAAAAATTAGTAATGAATTAATGTATCAGAAACACCTTTCCGTTTTTGAAGAGAAAAAATTGCTTTATAAAAATAATTTTTTTCACTAAAAAAACTGAAAGATGTTTCTGAAACAAGTCTTGGTTGTTCGTACAGTAACTATTTGCTTTTCCAAACAAGCACAAATTGTACCAGTTAGTGTAAGATGTGCAAACATGCAATTCGAAAAGCAGTCATCGACTCTTGTTGCAAAACTACAAATTTCAATCATTAGATAAGTAAAACTTAATTTTATTTTAAAACTAACTCTAATATTTCAATGTGGTACAAAATACACTTTCTTAATTTTCTACGACTTATTTCATAATCAGGATCATCAAAACATTCTTCGATCATTATTTTCAAATGTTTTATTCTTAAGATAATATGATGAACCATCTCCAAAGCATTATAAGACACTATCAATGGTAGTTTCATAAGCAGATGACAGCACGTAAGCAAATATAAGAAAACCAGTGAATATAATGGAATACTATCATCAACATTGAACGGAATCCATATTGGAGATAAGAGACCACAATTTTCATGTAAATTGTGTTCCTCATTAAATCGTTGACAAGCACCCTTTTCATACATTTTAAAAAAATTGTAAAATGTTATTGTAATAAATGCATAAATAAACACACAAATAATGTAAATTTTTAATCGTCTTTCTTCCTCTTCGAATCCCGGAGGTACGCCATACTTTTCAAAATTCGATAAATCACGAAGAATTCCAGCTGCTTTCTTTTGATTTTTTACGTAAGCTAATACTATATAGTAAGTACCGTAAATTGCAATAATTATGGCAATTTCTTCAGTTGGGTCCCAATCAATTTTGTCTATAAATAAATCAAAATACAGAGTGAACAAAAAGTATTAAATTATTTTTTAGTACTACTACAGGGTGTGTCAGAACTCGCGCCACAGAGAAAAATGTCATGTAAGATAAGATACCAGGAACATAGAAAAAATGTTTGAAAAATTCTGTCTGTTAAAAAATTGTGACTTTTATTTTTAGGCATTTGACATTTTAATGATACTGATGATCTTGTATATGTTTTTTTTTTATAATTATTTAATAAAAGTAAAAAAAAAATTACCAATAAAATCCACAAATAACATTAAACAAAGTTGCATTTTAGGATACAGCTTTCTTGTTTCCTCTTCTAATATCCTGTAGCAAAAAAACTTAGAAAATTATTTTTCCAACAGAAATAAATAGAGTCAAAGTGCAAAAGTTAAACTCTCATAACTTCGTAATATTTACAGAGGGATAGAATTTTTCCCTGTTCTTCGTATCTTACCTTTTTCTCTGTGGCGCGAGTTCTGGCACATCCTGTATTTACTACACTGGCGGACACGGAATTTTGGACGATTTGTCATTCGAGTGACATAAAAATGTAAAACGGGCCTTAGGCAACTAACCTCACTTTCGGTTTTTGTAATTTTTATCCTGATAGCTAGAGAAAAAATGACAACAAATCAAAATAATTTATTGAACTTTTATAAAAACACGTATTGCTGGCATTATTGTTTCGGAAAATCGACGCTAAACAACTAAAACATTCAAATTTTAGTTTCAAACGTCAATCATAATGACAATAAAGCGTGACTTACATTACATTTTTTGAACTGACATAAATTTGATGTCCAAAATTCCGTGTCCGCCAGTGTATGTGTTTACATAAAACTTACCTTTCAAAACAATTATAAAGTGCATACATATACCTATGCACCATAAAATTGTAAAAGACAAAAATATAAATACTTTGATGTAATACCACTTTCCTGGATTTATTTCGTCTCCTTCACTAGGCCATAGCAAACTATATTGCAGAATTTTTCTAGTTACACGAGATATTTTTATTTCAGACTCTTTCACTACCATTCTTTAGTAGGTATGATCAGATCTGACAAAAGAAAATGTAGTGTTGCAAAATGAGTGTTAATTTTTATCCTTAAGGAAAAATCCAGTGAAATTATTAGCTGTTTTGCTTAATTATACTATTTATAGTTATTTAAGTAACAAGAAATGTAAAGATAGGTACGTCTTTGAGGTAAGCGAGTACGGGTTTGCCGAGGATGTTAACAGTACATATTTCGTGTTACTTATTGCGTTTTTCTCCCTTCCGATAGCAAATTTCTTTAAATTTGGACTAAATGATGTATTCATACCATATTGACTTTTTACTTTCCTTATCCTATATGTGATGTGAATAGTCCATGTTGAAGACAACACTGAACTATAAAATTAGTGTCGACACATTGAAAAACTGTTCTATTCAGTGTAAATATGTATTATTTATAAATTATTAAATTCCTACTTTTTATGTTAATAAAACAACAAACCTCTAATTTACTTTCATTATGCGTATGTTCCAAGGAATGTACACTTGAGTGCAAAAAAAACGCAAATTGATGTTTTTATAATGTAATTTGATCTGTTAATAAGTGACAGTTTTTTTGACGCCTTTGTCGCAATTCACAATTCGTAATTCTCAGGCAACTTCCAAACTTCTATCAAGTTTTTCCATTTCGTTTTTAACACTGACTATGACACTGCACTGGGAACAACCTTTTTCACACTATGTAAATTTCTAAAAAATTTGACAATTTTGTTTTTGACAATTTGCGTTTTTTTTGCACTCCAGTGTAAATGACACTTGTATATTCTGTGGTCAATATTCTGTGGTCAAGGACAATTAATAGATGAATTATATTGGTCATTTACATGGCGCGTATCCAGGAATCTATGGGGTATTTATATTATCGGAAGCAGGATTTTTTTTAAATGTCTAATACGAATATTTGCACTTTTCACAAGCTTTTTTGAACTCTTACAAAAAGAGAAAAAAATATCGAGTTATACAAGGTGATTTAAAAGTACCATAGAACCAAAAAAATTTTTTTTTAATCGTTTGCCTTTAGAAAATGATTAATAAAAATTAAAGTGCTATGGAACATGTGATGGTGTTTTGAAAATAAAATTTAGTTTTTTTCTTTTAAATTACTCTTTTTGTTAAATAAGTATTTATACAAACATTTTTTTCGACAAAAATTGTATAAAACGTGGATTTCTTGGATCATAGCTTTTGTAAAAAAAGTTTTATAGTAGGTTGACATTTAAAAAAATTAAAAATTTCGTAGAATCAAAAAACAAAAAAATTTTTTTTTTGAAACATCACGTTTTTATTCATCAATTATTTTTTTTAATTAATAGTTAAAGCAAAAAGTGTTTAGTTCCATATTTTTTATTCACCCTGTATATCTTTCTTGACTAATTTTGTTTTTGAAGTATTTTAATTTATTAAAAATAATGTACTAATAATACAAACTTGGATTTTTCTTATTTCAATAAAACACTAAATTAAATAACACATACGCGATTGTAACAATAAACTTACATTAAATTTAAGTTAGCTGAATTTAAAAAAAACAAATGCTAAGTTTCTTTCTAAATTCTAACAAAAGTGTTTATTTAGATAGATACACACCTGAAATTAAATTTGTGTTCAAAAAAAGCGTTATAAAAGTTTGCACCAATTATTAAACTAATGAGAGTTGTAGATAAAATGCCATTGTTTTAAGAGTTAGTGCATATTTATTGGCTCACTAATTTCTCATTGCGCTTGCTTCAAAAAGCGTTTTGCACTTGCTCTCATAAAATTATTCCCACTTTTTACGTGCATAAATAAAATCTTTGTGTAAAAAAACTTTGTTTATTTAACTTCTAAAAAAAGGTAAAAGAAAACAACAATTTTATGGATTCCTCAAGTGTTTGCCACCACTCGCAACCGTCATACAAATTATTCTTTATTTGGGCCTATTGTTGAAAAATTTACAACTTAAATCAAAGATTCTTAGGAAAATATACGACGACTATCTTGTTGCATTAATAAAATATTTTTAATTTTTTGTAACGATAAAAAAGGTGGTTGTGCCAAGCGTTTTATGCGTTCATTGTCATTTGAAATTCAAATTCTTGTTTTTATTAGTTTTAAATAATTTTAAAAAAGGCGTTTTGTTTTAAAAATATTTTTTTATTCTTGGCAACTTGTCCATCTAACAAACAAAATTTGAGTTTTTCTCGTAACTTAATTCATAAAAATTTATACTGTCATTGGTATGTTAATAACCACATGTATGCAGGTATATCACTTAACAGCATTGTACGTCATAATTTACTCCTTTAAAGTAATTTGAAAAGGTTTTGTAGGTAATTTAGCTATACAAAAAACAGATTTTACTAAAAATAGCTATTTATTTTATTCTATTGTTCTACTTGTTAATGAAAAATCTCGTTCATTTCGAAAACTATTTATTACCAAATAATGTTTAAAATTTACATCAATTTTTGTTTATGACTACTTGATTTTTTTTAATATGGTAAGAAGGGTCAAACTTAATATTTTCAAGAAAAGCATTTTTTATGAGTTCTGTGATGTAATAATGTAACACATGCATACCTTATTTTAATCAAAAATTATCAAACTAATTAGACTTTTAAGCCTTGGAAGTGTTGTCTTTATCGTTATCTTTTTGCCGCCTGAACTTTGACCAAAAAATAAGTAAACTGTTTTCCAAATATCAACGTGCTCTGTTAATCCCCTCTGAAAATATTTAGCTGTATCCATAATTTTTAGCGCCCTTGTAAAAAAGACTTCCGTGACAGACTGACAGACAACGCACAGCATAAACTACTAAAGCAAGAAACAGGAAATTTGGAAGATATGTTCCTTCGAGGGTGTAGAGAAAGGCTAAGAAAGGATTTTTCGAAAATCAATCTCAAAGGAGACGAAATGGGGTGTAAACTTAGTTAAAAACATCTGCCAAAAAAAAAGGATTTTTTTAAATCTATTTCTATGAGGGTAAAATGGGGTGTAAACATTTAAACAAAGATTGTAACATGAAACTTTGGAGATATATTCCTTAGAGGGACCGCTTAGAAAGGACTTTTCGAAAATAAACAGGATGTCCGGAAAGTCGCGCACCTCCGTGGTACTGTGTCATCGGGCTGTGCCCTAGACAACAAGAAAAATGTTAAAAAAAATCTATAAAAATTTCGAAGTTATGAGTTTAAATTTTGCATTTTGACTCTATGTATTTCTGTTGGAAAAATAATTTTCCAAGTTTTTTTGCTACAGGATATTAGAAGAGGAAACAAAGAAGCTATATCCTAAATTGTAACTCTGTTTAATTTTATTTGTGGATTTTATTGACAAAATTTTT